TAGAGGGCAGTTTATTTGTAAATACGTTTTCTATGAAGTTTCTAATTGGTGGAAAATTATCTTCAATGTCTAAAACAGTGCAAGAATCTACATTTTCTTGATAATTCAGGGCTTCTATTTCTAGAAAATTGTTGCTATAAAAACAAATGAAAGTAAATGTATTTGTTCATGATATATTGTGGACAGTTGTAATATTTTGTAAATATTTTTTTAGATGAAGGTTATTATTTGTGGATCTTTGTCACTATTTTCTCATATGATAAGACAGAAAATTTTTTTGGTGTTTCGTGCTATAAATAGAAAAAGAAACCTCACTCAAATAGTGTGTAATTTAGTAAATGGTCACTAATGCTTGTCAGTCACATAATGGTTATAACAGTAACTGTTAGGATGCACAATTTTCATCCGTTATGTGTGAAATAATGCAAGAATTTACATATTCTGGATAGCTCACAGCATTTTGATTTTGTTGACAATTTATTAAAAATAAGAGTTCACCCCAAAAATAGTGTCAATTTTTAGTTGACTAACTTTTCTAGTTAATGATATATTGTAGATAGCAGTTTATTTTTTCAATATATTTTTTCTGTGAAGCTTCTCACTGGAAAATTGTTATTTATACTAATATATTAAGACATGGAAATTTTAAGGTGTTTGATTCTATAAATAGAGATGTGAACCCCCTTCAAATACAGGACATTACAGTAAATGGTAACTAGTACTTGTCAGTTCCTGTTGTTGAAATATTGTAGATAGCAAATTGTTTGTAAATACTCTTTATGAAGCTTCCAGTATGGGGAAAATTTTCATTTTACCTCATATACTAAGATGTTTCTAAGTTTTTATTTTTTGTGCTTAAAATAGAAATAGGAATCCCCTTGAAACATTTTGCATTTCAGTCATTGGTTTCTAGTACTTATCATTCACATTATGTTTATAGTAGAAAGTATTCAAATTTCAACCCATAATTGTATGAAATAGTGCAAGAATTTATATTTTCTAAATAACTCACTGCATCTATTTTTAGACAACTGTTGCTATAAACAGAAAAGAAAGTTCATCTTCAATATTGTGTCAATTATTAATTGCCCAAATGTTCTTGTTCATGACATATTGTAGACAGCAGTATATTTTGTAAATACTTTTTCAATGAAGCTTACAACTGGTGGAAAACTGTCATTTTTCCTCATATGCTGAGATGTTTCTATTTTTGGGTGTTTGGTGCTATAAATAGAAAAGGGAACCCCCTTCAGATAGTGTGTATTTCAGAAAAAGGTTTCCAGTACTTGTCAGTCACACCATGTTTATAACAGTTAGTCTGCATTTTTTCCATCCAACATAGCCTGAAAAATTGCAAGAATCTACATTTTCTCGATAATTCGAGGAATCTATTTTTAGACCATTGCTGTTATAAAGAGAAATAAGATCCATCCTCAATATTATATCAATTGTTGTACAAACACTTGTTCTTTTTGAAAGCATATTGTAGAAAGCTTTATATTTGTTAATACTTTTTTCTATTAAGCTTCCAATTAGCATAAAACTCATTTTTCCTAATTTTCAGAGACATATCTATATTTAGGCGCTTGTTACTATAAATAGAGATGGGAATCCCCCTCAACCATTGTCCACTCCAGCTAGTGGTGTCCAGCTACTGTTATTAACATCTTACATTTTGCAATATACCTCCTAATTTTCCAGCAATGACATCTAAAACTTTGCCAAAATTTGATTTTTTACAGTTTACTAAAACATATCTATTTATAGATACATGTTACTAAAAATAGCATTAAAAGCCCACTGATATTTTTCATGAGATGACACTACTAATTCTCAAGGATAAAAACACACATAAGATTTGAAAATTTTCCACGGACAATTTTTCTTATTTAGCCTTAAAGATCTCAAAAAATACTAAATTTTCCATTTTTCACATTTTCAGGAACCATGTCAGTTTGTATGACCTTTTTCTTAGAGTGGGAATATTTCTAGAATAAATGATTATATGCCTGTACCTTAAAAGTTCACGTTTTCATATGATCCAATGATTTTTGTTTGAGTGTATTAGATACCGATAAGTATTCGTTTACATTTCCTCAATTTTCATCTTTTCATTTGGTCAAAAAGGGTCAAAAATGGCCAAATTCTATGGATCCGTCTCCATGGCAACCAAGTGCACGTGTGAAACTTCCGACACCATATTTTCTAGTTTTGTACCAAGACACACCTGTGGTGCAAGTTTCATCAAAATCCGAGACATGTCGTTTCCAAGATTTTTTGGTGCTTACAGAGAATGCGTGTTAAGAAGTAACACAAATATACAAATAAAATACCCGATATAGGAAAAAATAGCAAATCTAACCAAAATATGGTTTGTTGTAATCACGAAAAATTGAAATACTAAGCTGAATATGACGACGATTAAAAGTGAACTGCCTTATGAAAGATGTTTGGGATTTGGTTGTCTTTCTTCGTGCATTTCGAAAGGTTGGGTGTAGGGTTGATTAGGGTTTTTTTTTCTTGTTGTTAGTTTTTTTTTTTTAAATTTTATTTTTGTCAGGGGATTTTTGTTACCATATAATTACCCTGATAAATGACACGCATAAAGCTGTTTTGACATAAAGTTTTATTGCGCTGTATGTGATGATTTGAGATATGACATATAGCACATTGAATTTTAACATTATTGTTTCCGTATATTTTGCATTTTGGTATAATAAATAATTTGCTAAAAAAATAACTATAAAATGTACTTTTATTTTGCTGATAAAAGTATAAGTATTTCGAGCGACTTTGTTAAAGCGACATAGTAAGTAAAATTTATATATATTTTTCATGATATTTTTATCATCTTTAAACGAAAGATTTATCAAAAATATAAGCATTGCAAAGTTTTGATAAACTCGACTGCACTGTAACGCAGTGTTTTTGCGCACGCGTAGAATAAGGAGGAAATGGAAAGCAATATTTTCGTCTTGAGCCAGACAATAATGTTTTCTTCATCAAAGTTGAAATTTTGGGCTCTGAAACCTGTAATATTATGAAACATGATACTTTCAAGAATTAAACAAAATTTGCATGTACCATGCAAAGAATTCTATATTTAATCAGCAAAACCCACCATCGCCGTAAGAATAAGTACTTCACAAAAAAAAAAAAAAAGAACAACATAATCACAGTTTTTTTTAATGGAACGCTTTATTAGCAATTTCTGAATACTTTCGTGTGCTTAAACAATCAGAAGGCTTAAGAACCAAACTGAGATCGTAGTCATTTTATCAGTTTTCTTCGCTTCTGTCAGACATAAAGGATGAGAAACTTCAGAATATGTTCAATTTTGTCCATAAAAAAAACCAAAAGGCCAATGAGCCACATCGCTCACCTGAGCCATTGGCTATGAAAAAGCAGAAACCAAGGGGAGGTCATAATTTGAACAAACATGATTCTACAATGTATACCTGAGGTTGCTTCTGTATAAATATGACTAATAATGGCTTAGTTGTTCTTAAGAAGAATATTTTAAAAGACATTTAATATGTAATGTGTATGATCAGGCTCTAACAAGGGATATATGGCTAGGTTTTCCTTTTACTCTGTCTGAGTTAATGATTAAAATGATTATTAAGATATCTCTGTCTGAGGGTAAATCACACAGTACTAAAATTTTTCTCTTATCTAGAGACGGGGACTAGGAAAGGTACTACTTGTTCCTTGTTTCTCCGACCCCTAGGTTTCTATTGATAAATAAGAACCGGGTATCTCAATCTTCTTCAGATTTACTACATCCAGAACTTAACTTCAATGCATTCCCTAGGATACTTGCTACTGGTGCTTATAACTTTTATACTTTTATTTTGCTTTTACTTTTAACTTCTTTATTGCTTATTCAGCGGCCAACTTTTTCAGCTAGCTTCTGAATGCCTGACTTTTCCAAAGCTTTGCCTTATATACTCTTTGGCTAGTCCATTCCAAGGGTTATCAAGTCATTCTACTATATTCCTATGTAAAACTTTGACCCACTGTTGTGGCCCCGCCCTACTCTCGGGGTCATGTTTCGAACAAACTTTAATTTACACTATCTGAGAATACTTCTATAATACCTGAGGATACTTCTAAAAAAATATGACTTATCATGGCTTTGCTGTTTTCGGGAAGAAGATTTTTAAAGACATGTCATGTATATTCCTATGTAAAACCTTTTTGTGGCCCCGCCCTACCCCCGGGGTTATGATATAAACAAACTTGAATCTACAGTATGTAATGAAGATTTCGCATAAGTTTCATTTTTTTCTTATTATAGAAGTATCCTCAGGTATTACAGTTCTTGAGAAGATTTAAAAGATGCCGCCAAATTTTCACGAACGCTTAATTATCTCCCCTTGAAAGAGGGCATGGCATTTCCTGTGAATAAACTTAAATTCCTTTTATCCAAGGATGCTTTGTGACAAGTTTAGTTGAAAATGGCCCCTTGGTTCTTGAGAAGAAGTCGAAAATGTACAGAAGACAGACGGACGCCGGGCACACTTTATCAGAAAAGCTCACCGAAGCCTTCGGCTCAGGTGAGCTAAGAATTTTTGACAAACTTACTGATACAAAGTCAGTGTGGTGCAGATGCTCATATGTTTACACTATTGTATGCAAAGATTTTATTTTGAATATAAAACCAACTGCGTTTCACCACAGGATTAAGTTTCTAACTGGGGAGGGGTATAGATATTAAGGTTCGCTCGAAGTATTCACACATTTTCTGAACTGCTGAACTTTCAGGGAGGAAACCAATCGCTTGCAAAGCTTAACTGATTGGAGATCACACATCATATTCCTTCATAAACCTGAATGCAGCTTTGATTTCCGATTTTAATTTTTTTAGAAGCATTGGACAAAATCATAGAGGTAACTTGACCAATAGATAAACAATTATGTGGATGGAAACTTAACATTTTAAAAAGAGAAAAAAACATTTTGTTTAGAGAACATATAACAAAAAAAGACAAAACAAAAGCCGTACACATGATTTTCAAGATAACAAAAAAGTACAATATTTTAAAGGATTTTATAACGATGAACAATGCGTAGGAGGTCATTTAAAGATAATTTTATTGTGCTGGGGGAGTGTCTACAGGTCATCCATCTTCTTAACAAGGGCCTTTACTGACAACAGCCACATTCCTGAAATATCCACAGACAATGTTACTTAGAGTTTTATCAATACAAAACGAGTATTGAGTATTACTTTATTTTATGAATACATCTTCTCATATTTCTTAAACCTTTATGATTTTAAGGCTGAATTGCTTTGATAAAAGTGCTGCATAAGAGAACCTGATACATACTCAACTTCAGCCTGGCACTCATTAGAATAAGTATTTCCATCTTCACCACAGACGGGCGCGTAAAGGTTAGGACATGCGCGGGGACATCCTCCTTCAGAGGCAACTTCAATTCCCCTGGGGAAAAAGTAGAAATTCTGTTTTTGTAGATCTTCCGATAAACTTTTCAATTAAAAAAAATCTTAAAAAGTATATAGCAAGACAATTACAAATTACTCACTTGCAATTCGCGGTACATGCATTAGCGTAAGTTTTGCCGTCAACACCGCATACAGGTTTCAAAATAAAAGGACAAGCACATGGCTTCGGGCATTCTCCTTCTGATGCAATTTCAACATTACTAAGTCAAAAACAATGAAAGATGTTAAAATGATGTCATGCTACATTCTCTTTTCATAGATTTTAATTAACACACACAAAATTAATTTCCCTGATATTGTAACATGAAACAAAGCCTTAAATGAATAGATAACAAGCTTGAAAATACAAAATATACCCAGACACTTACGCTGCTTGAGCGCCACAAGCATTTCCATAAGTTACTCCATCAACTCCACATACAGGTGTGTAGTCGGCTGTACACACTACTGGACGTGGACATTCACCCTTACTTGATATTCGAACGCCTCTGAAAAAAATGGAATTGTTTACATATATTAACAACTACACATGTATGTCCAATGAAAAAACATAATTATTTTTTATTTATAGAAGAGAATAAATTACTGCCCAAACGGGAATAATACATTATATTTCTATATAATGTTGGGAATTAACAAAACGTCAAAAACTATGTCTTTGTTTCTAAGAAAAAAAAATCAATTTGCATACTAAAAGATGTGAAGATAACGAACTCTGATCGAGAAATTCTGTCAACAATACAAAACGTGAACAGAAAAAAACAGACTTAAGGCATCAACAATTTTAAAATTTTATTTTGAGCTTTTTTACATTATCAAAGTTTCCATTAAATGTTCAAAATAACAAATTCTTAGTTCTTTTTGACAATTTAATTGACCTTGTTCTTAGTTTGGGATATAAAAGTTGTGCAATATTTTAGATGCATTCCCTACATTTGTTAAGAATATGCTATCAGATACATGAAGTTGTGTGAAAGACACATACTTTTGTTAATATATTGTACATGTATTAACTTCTGTGCTAAACATGAGCTTTTCTTTATGGTGGTATCTTTGTTTCCGGACTGAGCTCTCTGCAGTTTTGTATATGTCTTTTATAGAGACTGGGAGTGTCAAGCAGCATAAATAACTCGGATTAAGTGATTTTTAAGTTTCCTTTGTTTTAATTAATAATCAAACTTAACATCCATTGTAATTGCATTATATCTTTCCGAAACATAAGGAAGGTCAGAACTGTAGCCGAGACTTACTTGCAAAAGGCCACACATTTGTTTCCATAAGACTTGCCATCCACGCCACAGACGGGGTTGTAATTCTTCTTACATTTACAACATGAATCCGAATCTTCGGCTGCCTGTACACCTCTACAAGATACATGTATGTTATTATTATTAAATTATTATTATTGTTTTATGTATAACTGCGCGTTATATAAAACAACAATATGATTAAATGAAATCATATTCATGAAAGCAGGAAAGCAACGGTCAGGCTATTTTGAAAATTCTTTTCATTTTATGTAAATCCACAAATAACAATGTTGACTTGTTTTCTTATTAGACGTAACAAAATTATATTAAAAAAATACATGTGTAATATAGTACAAATCTGCAAGTTTTGTGCTTTATTAAGTGTTCTTAACGTTGATTCCTCTTTGCCCAGTTAACGGCATGTTTTCTTCTCATAGTAAAAGCCCAAATTCTTGCCGAGAATTTTCCGTGTGTGCAAAGTTTAAAAGTTTTTTGGTGATATTATTGTTACTTTTTTACAAAGCTTGAACATTAAATATCCCCCCCCCCAAAAGTCTTGCAAATTTGTAATTTATCTAAAACAGCATTTTAACAACATGTCTGTTCTGTTAATTTTTTAGTTAATGTATATGTATCAGAGAGTGCAGATTAACATAATTCATGTCAAATGATTCAAAACATTCAAAATATTTAGGAGGGGGGTGTAAATAACAATGAAATAATTTCTATGGTATATTTTATATTTTAACCCAATAAATCGATGTTATGCAAACCATTAAGCTAAAGCTTCATGTTCACATATGAATCAAATTTTTAACCGATATTGACCTCCTTTTATACTTTTAAGAGTTCTAGCAATATATGGTTTGAATTTTGCAACAGGACCCAAAGCATTTCGTTTTTAATTACTTTTTATTGTTTTTGTAATAGAAAAAAAAGAGATTAGTAATACAGCTACTCACGCGCATTTCATTAAACATGTATTGGCATACGTAAAGCCGTCATCACCACAGACTGGGTTTAAAATCTTAGGACAGGGGCAGATAGTGGGACTTTCAGACAGGACAGCTGCCAATACTGATGAACTCACCAACAAAATAGATATGAACATTTTCTGGGACTGAAAAAGATAATGAAATAAACAAATATGTATAGAGACGGGTACAGTGTCTTGATTAATTAATGAACATGCATGATATTCTCCTTAATTGCAAAAATATGTTTTCGATGGATTTTTTTTCTTAACAGTCGATTTTTCTCAATTATTATAATTTTGAATATATATATATATATATATATATATATATATATATATATATATATATATTCATTTTAGAGGATTTTGAATTTATCAAAATTGGAGAGACTCGTATGAATGCTCTATTCCTAGAGTAGTAAGCGTACTTACCTTATTGATAATCCTTATCCGGTGTAAGTTCTCCACTATGCGAGGAAAGTTGCTACATTCAGATTTATATCGCAGTCAGATAAAATTTATTTGTAATTGATAACAATCTAATACGACATGTGTTAACTAATTTAATGATCATTAGCGTATCATCCGCAATTTGACCCCAGGTAGCCTTGGGATAAACAAACAGCTGTGGTCAGGTATTTATTTGTAAATACTGGAACAAATATGATAATTGGATGGAATAATATCAGCAACTTTGATATTCTTCATTTTATTTCGAGCACGCTGTCTTCTCAAAAATACAAGCTTTAACTACCTTTATAATTCCCAAGTAAAAGATAATTCCATTATTTATTCCTTCAGTATAAATTTTACGCTTTTTGGTTTTTGTTCTTGTCTTCTTGCTTAGAATATATTGCAGGTATAAATAGAAAAAGAATCATTGAGTAAGTCCTTATATAACCTTAAAAAGAAAATCAAAATGATTAAACGGAATTCTTTAATTTTAAAAATACTCAGTAGTATTCAAGTATAATAATAAAAACATTTCTTTAAGTACTCGTTTTCCATTAACAAATTTATAAAAAGTTTTTGAATTCTTTTTAATAAAGCACGCGTTTAATATTTTTATGCCCCCGTATCGAAGATTCGAGGGTATATAGTTTTTGCCCTGTCCGTCCGTCTGTTTAGCTGTTTGTATATTTGTCCGCAAAAACGTTAACCGTGCCCATAACTTTTGATTGGTTGGAGCTATGACTTTCATATTTCACATGTGTATTTCTTGTGACAAGACCTTTCTTTGGGTATCATCATATTTGACTCTAAACTTGACCTTGGAATTTGACCCACTTTTGCAAAATTTTGTGAGACTTTAACCTTGGCCATAACTTTTGAACAGTTGGTGCTTGGGGTTTCAAACTTCACATGTGTATTCTTTGTGACAAGACCTTCCTTTGGATACCAACCACTTTGGCGTTTTGACCTTGATCTTGGAGTTTTACCTACTTTTGAAAAACTTTAACCTTGGCCATAACATTTGAACAGTTGGTGCTAGGGCTTTCATACTGCACATATGTAATCCTTGACAAGACCTTCCTTTGGATACCAACCACTTTGACCCTTTGACCTTGACCTAGGGGTTTGACCTACTTTCGAAAAAAATTAACCTTGGCCATAACTTTTGAATGGTTGATGTTAGGGCTTTCATACTTCATATATGTAATCCTTGTGACAAGACCTTCCTTTGGATACCAACCACTTTGACTCTTTGACCTTGACCTAGGAGTTTGAACTTTTTTTGAAAAAACTTTAACGTTGGCCATACATGTAACTTTTGAATGGTTGATGTTAGGGCTTTCATACTTCACATATTATGTAACCCTTGTGACAAGACCTTCCTTTGGATACCAAGCACTTTGACTCTTTGATCTTGACCTAGGAGTTTGACCTACTTTCGAAAAACTTTAACCTTGGCCATAACTTTTAAATGGCTGGTACTAGGGCTTTCATACTTCACATATGTATAATCCTTGTGACAAGATTTTCCTTTGGATACCAAAAACTTTGACCTTGACCTTGACGTTTTACTTACGTTTAAAAAACTTTAACCTTGGCCATAACTTTTGAACAGTTGGAGCTAGGGCTTTCAAATTTCACAGGTATATTTCTCAAGACAAGACCTTTCTTTGGGTACCAACATTTTTTTATCTTTTGGCCTGGATTTTGACTTGCATTTGAAAAACTTTAACCTTCGCTATACGGGGGCATCAGTTTTTCACAAACACATTTTGTTCTTTTAATTTTTGCTACATGATAATTTATATTCACTAGGGAAAACCCACTTTTATTTTATTGTTATCATGGTTCATATTTTTTTCTGCTGTTTCATGCCTGCCTGATTTTGAATTCATTTTACATCTTAAACTGCATAAATATAAAGAATGAAGTACCATTTCCAGAATAATTTTGCTTATTAAAATAATCAACTTATGTTGGAGGGTTATTCACCGATTGAACAGAAGTTCAAATTTCTCAAAAATATAAATGCAAATGTTCCCCCATCAAATCAAAATTCCTTAAAATATAAAAATGATTTAAATTAACAGCTTTATAATGTTTCATTTTTGTTTTGGCTCTCAACAATTTTTCAAAAAGAAAATCTTTATAGACACACAAACTTGAAGAATCTTTCTAAAGTATTACAGTAAATTTTGAGAGGGATTTTAAAAAAAATAATATTTTTACCTCCAGATCAATGAAAAATGTCCAACGACACTAACAATATAATTTGACAATTTCAATTGTTTGTGTCGTTGGTCATTTGTAGTGCTTTATATAAATTTCCATCCTTGACCTTGTATCTATTTAGTAGATCCGACACTTAGGATATACAGTGTTGTTGGTTTTTGTAGTACTTTCTATTAATCTTTTTCGCCAACTGTATCTTCTCAGATCCACCCGTATATCCATTTTGTCTCTGTTCTTTTTACTGTGCCTTTCTGTTTTTATGACTGCTTAACTTTTTTCTTTGTCTTGAGGAAGGGACAGGGCGTCCCGAAAATTTGACAATTTCTATTGTTCGTGTCGTTGTCGCTAGCGCTTCATGAAATATGCCTACTTGACAAGTCTGTGTGATTTACACACCAATAACTCACACAAAACTTAAAAACATTCCTTATATATATATATATATATATATATATATATATATATATATATATATATATATATATATATATATATATATATATATATATATATATATATATATATATAGAATGTTTATGGCCAATAAACATCTACGACAAACGGGATGAATTTGGCTTTTTCTTTCGTCAACTTTTCCTTATTTCTGTAGTAATATCCTGCTATCACCTGCATATGGTGTTTGTCTCTCATCTTATTCAGCACGTTAGAGAATGTTCTAAGTACGATTAAATTTTAATCGCAGACAGGATGCCGACAAATAAGTTGATGTTATAGGGCTTTCGATGAAAGTCAGCATTTCAAAATATATAATGACTATTATTGGCAAATACATTAATTTATCCATTTTTTTGTTAAAATGTTATATATTTAGTAGTCTCAGATCCTTGATAACTTCAACAAATTTACAAAAATCCACGAGGGCCATGAAGTCCAGAAAAAATATATTTAGGGAAGAATAAGATATTTGTTCTGACGAAAAATACAATTGTTCTGACAAACTTGGTCATTTTTCTGACAAACACATATTTGTGTGGAAAAATGAGATCCTCCTTCCGACAAATTTAATATGCATTAGAAGAAAGTTATGGCCTGTAAAATGGCGCATTATTATACGAATTTTGCGTTATATTTGATAAAACTTGTTTATTCATATTTAAATCTTGTTATTCCTATTCATAACCTTGTTATAATTATTCTAAATCTCATGATTTATATTTCATAATTGTTATTCATATTCGGAAATGTGTGATTTATATGCAAAATCGTTTGATTTTTATTTGCAAAGTTGATTTTCATGTACCCCTTCATTACATTCTACGGGAGTCATTATTCTTCTTTACACCGGTCAAAAACGTGACCAATTCAGACCGAACTGTATGCTCACAGGAAAATTTGGAAATTATCGAAATGGTCTTGGTTGGTGGACAGTTAAAAAGAGTGAAACCTAAATATGCGAGTTGATAGAGAGATTGATTGTTTGTTGTTTTACGTCCCACTCGATAATTTTTTTACTCATATAGAGACGTCACAATGTACCGGTGAAGGCACTCAGGGCCATTGAGCAATGAGTTTTCGTTATATCGTGCCAACGCCTACCTTGACACTGGGCCTCGGTTTATAAGGTCTCATCCGAAGAACCGTAACGTTCACTTCTAGTACCGGGCGCTTGGTGAAGGAACAGTCACTACCTATGTTTACGTCTTTGGTTTGACGCGGCGCGACGGACGAGAATCGAACCATCTCGTTCACAAGGCAATCGCTCTGCCACTAGGCTACCGTAGGCGAAAGTTAATAGAGAGAATAAAAAGAAAATTTAGAGATCATCGGTCTCCCACGATTATTAAGACAGTTTTAACAGGATTCCACGCTTTGACGTCAAGCATCTTTTAGAAAAAACTTTAATAAAGTATGTTTTAATATGTTTTATTTGTTGAACATTGCCTATGAATGACACAACATGCAACTTGCCAGATTCTTCCTTTCAATGCAATTTTCATACATAAAAGGAAATGAAAATAATATTCACAAACTATATATGTTTTAATATGTGATCACAATATAAAGTTTAATAAAGTCAGCACAAATCTATCTATATTGATGTACAACAACAAAAAATGTTTATAAACAGCCCTTCAGTGGTCCATAAAGTTGAGTGAATCATATATAGGAGAAGAGGTGGAATCAATAGTATTTCGTGGGTTGAAATCTTCCTAATTCAATGCATTAGGTGGTTCCGATATGTTTGACTTCAAAGAATTTATAAATCTTCGTAGAAAAGTCAGACAAAGGTTTATTCATTAGTTTGTTTTTTAGTCAGTTTGGCTTGGAAACAAACGCCCCGCACTCTGATATAAGAAGAATAAGAACACGAAATCATCCACGCACTATTGTTTATCAGCATTTTCCAATTTTTACCACATAAATTTCACTGAAATAAAAATAACAATGTTTTGAGTTGAGTATTGCTATTACATCTTTAGAATACATCTTTTAAATATTCTTTGAAAACAAAATCCAGTGGAAATAAAAATTTATGCACTCACTATTTTGTGAGAGCAAAAAGTAATATAAAATTGCAGATTATCAATTGATAAAGATAATTTATCTTGTTCATCAAAAATTGTGCTTTGAATTTGAATTAAACGCCAGCATTTATTCTTTACAAGTCAATTTACGGTCTCCGAATTTACAAGTCAATTTACGGTCTCCGAATATTAAAATGTAGTGTTTGTCAACAAAGATTAACTAGAAGTGTCGACAACAATACTTAGCAGATTACAGATACTTACTTAACGCAGTCAGCTAGACAGAGATTCTGATACGTCCTTCCATCACTTCCACAAACTGGTCTGTATTCATTAGGAGAACAGAAACATTGTCTTGGACACTCACCATCAGAAGCAATTCTTACACCGCTGTATTCAAAACAAATTCTCGTTTAAACAATAATTAATGTTCATAATTTAATTTAAATAAAAACGCTACTTTTGATGAATAAAACTCATTAATTGAACCTTTAGATAAAGGAATATATCAAAACATAAAGACGCTAAAACTATAATGGACTTACCCTGCTTTACAAAGGTTGCCATAAGTCATCCCATCAACTCCACAGACAGGTTCATATACGTCCGAACATGGCGACGGTGTAGAGGCACGAGGACACTCGCCCTTCCTTACAACTCTTATGCCTCTGTAAAAAGGTAGTTAAACATGATATCAAATTGTTAAATGATCTTCCATTATGATACTCAAAATACTTATATGAGAAAATATCTTGAAAGTCACTTTTTTAAACTTAAGTTTCGATAACCATTTTATTTTTGAACGATTTGAAATAATAATATAAATGAATATCCTTTATCACACGTATTGATGATATAGTGTGTTATTTTGCATATTCTTGTCTGTGATTATGACAAACTTGGAAAAGAAATCAAATACTAAGATGAGTTTCTCTAGAAAATTTTCATTAATTTCGGTTATTCTTGCAAAAGAAAAAATCTTGAATATTTATTGTCGAAAGGACTCAGTGAACATGTGTCACAACCTATCAATGAATTGGTTAAACTAACTAAATACATGTAACCAGTATTTAGTATCACATAAAATCTGGTTTAAATTATATTTATACTAGAAGAATGTATTTATTTTATGAAGCAGAATTTATTCAAAAACTTCTACTTGAGAAGTAGAAAGCACTTGATGTGGCCTTCAACTCGACATTTAGATATATCGGCAACGTATTATCAATTAAATAGTTACTTTCATTCATATGTCGACTCGATATATCCCAGAGAGCTTGAAATAAAAGATACCACAGAGTCTGACACATCTGTTTCATATTTAGATATTTTACTAGAAAAAGACCTTAATGGTAACTTAACAAAAAAGCTTTATGCTAAACGTAATTACTCTAACTTTTCAATCAATCGTCAGCTTCCCTTACTTATGTAGCAATATACCCTTATCACCAGCATATGAGGTTTTTGTCTCCCAGTTGATTACGCAAGAGCATGCTCTAAGTTTGAACAATTAAAGCGATTTATAGTCGATACAACGTCTTTGTCGGCAAATACAACCTATCATTAAGTCAAATGCTGACTGACGTTTTTCATATGAATTGTTAAGCCATTCTTTACACACTGAATTGTCTACGAATTTTTCCGATCATGACAAGATGCACACGGCGGGTGTGACCGGTCGGCAGGGGATGTTCACTAAACCATAGCACCTAATCCCACCTCTGATGTTTTTTGGAGGTCGTGTTTGCTCTGCTCCCGATTTGTATATTGTTTAAATGGACTTTGAGCTTGAATAATGTTCGTTATCTCCATATTTCATTCTGTAAATTTGCACTCACGCATTATTAATAATTACGCGATAATTAATTCCTCGCGTATATTTAGGAATCTACAGTATATGATCCTTCACATGCATTCTTTATGGAAATATACATATATTTACGCACCCTAATAATTTAATTCAGCAAGTACATATACAATATTTAACTTCTTGGTGCTTCTTTTTTTAATTTGGCTATCAATTATCAGCTTTACCTGCATGTTGCCATGCATTCGTTTCCATATGATCTACCATTTATGCCACACACTGGATTATAATTCAATTCACATGAGCAGCAGGACAATGGGTTTTCAGCAGCTGTCACTCCTCTGGAATAGTCAATTATCAACGTTTCAAACATCATGATAGCAAAAACAGTTCTTTTGTTTTATTTTAACTTACTCAGTTTGTTTGAATTTTTGAAATCACACGTAATTCCAATTAAGAACTATAAAATTCTTTTTTTGGAGGAAGGAAGTGGGGTTTCATTATATTACTCACGCGCATTCCATGATACATGTATTATTGTATGTGACGCCGTCCTGTCCACATACGGGTTCTAAAGCCTCTGAACAAACACAAGGGACACTTCTAGCCAGGATAACAGTCAAAACTGACGAGCAAACCATCAAAAGAATAACACCCATCATATCTGAGACCTTTAAAAGTAAAAGAAGTTTTTTTTTCTAATTCTCTTTAATTTGTAAAAAAAAAAATCCGTTTCATCACCTAACTATTTCTTTTTTTATTCAGTTATTTCGTGTGTTTTGGGTCTTCTTAATTGTTCCAAAATTTCCAAATTTTTACAGCATATACTAGTTAACGAATGGTTTGACAATTTGTATATGTGTATTTAAAGGATAAAGAATTAAAGTCAGATTTTACAAACAATATCGATAAAGGTATTGCTTCACAAAACATTTATCTATATTACAAAATACATTTTGAAAATACTCGAAGTCCTTTTGTAATACTATGTTCTGTTATTATTTACTTCATAAAAATTGTTTTAAGCAAAAAATATACCTAGGTACTCTGAATAGATCGGTAATTTTACTTCCAGGGTACTCTGAATCGATCAGTAATTTTACTTACAGTTGTAGAATGTATTGGATTTTCCTCCTACGAAATCCTCTTATTTTTCTTTTATATGGAGCTGAAAGATTAAAACACGTTATTTATAGTCGTAAAATAATTTGTCTCCCAAAAAAGAAGAAAATGCATGACACTTACTCAGTAATTCAAAATTCGGCTGTTGACCCCAAGAAGACAACAAAAACAATCATAAAACATCGATGAAACTTCTAAATAAACTTTTTTTGTTTGCAATATACGAGTTTTACTTTGTTTTCGTTTAATTAATGTCAAATGTTTGCCAAAATATCTTAAATCACATTAAAATAGAGGTGAATGACAGAACTATGCGCTTAGTTATACTAGTATTTCACACGGTTAATTAAAATATTTATGACTTTTATGAATGCTAGGGTGCTATACTTTAATTCATAAACATTTTAAGTTTAAAAATTCTGGTCCAAGGGCCATGAAGCACTTTTAAACCTAAGTACATTGTCTTAGTTCTATTAAAGAGAGCACATAAAATTTGAAATGTTTTAAAATGATTCCCTTTCATTATATTGATTCTAATTTTCAAGTTTTAAATTATGATAAATATTCATAAATGAATGACTGAACCTTTGACTTGTCTAAGACTGCATCTTGATCCCAAGGCCTGACATTTGAGCAATACTAATTAAAATGCCAACACTCCCATAGTAAGCCATATCTAAGATTGCATATTAGAACATGGTTGTCAACATATCTAAGACTCCTGACTTAGAAGAAAAAAAGAGACTGAAATAATATTTTTTTCTTACGTTGATACTCATAACTTAATAAACTACATGTAATGCAATTTCTTTTTATATACCCTGGTATAAAATAAAGAACTTTTTAAAAATGTTTTCATAGAATTTCATTATATTCTTTGAAAATGATATAAATTTAATTGCTGAACGTCAATGCAACATCAAAGCATGTCATTTTGGTTTAAACTTCAAAAACATATAAAAAATCATTTTGCACGCAATATATTTTTAAAAATTATCTGAGTCATTTCGTTGCTGGACTACATGACATGTTAAGTGCCAACTGTTGCCATGCCTGTGGTTACACGGTGTGGTCAATGTTATTAAATATATGTGTCCTATCTCATCTCATCGATGGCATGTATAATACATAAAATTGATATCAATTTTAATGTTATGAAATAGATAATTGTGAGTTCATCATTCAATTATTCATGTACAACAAATCGTGCTTAAATACTGCCTCTTTTAATTATATTAGTCAACTAATATGCATGTACTTAGATATCTTTTATTTTTTTTATTCGTTTATTTATACTTTATTAATCCTTTTATTCTTGAGCCACAAATGTATTTCTATAGTTAGGAATATTTGATTAAAACCTTTATCAGTAATCACTAAAATGAAATCAAAGCCATTCTTTTTTATCAATATCTAAACCAGTATGAAATTGATATATAGTAAAACCCTCCCAAACGAATGAAGCGATTCTTTTCTTGATATTAAACCAACTTCTAGAAGTCCTCTCCTCCTTATATTATTCGGAAGAAACATTTAGTGAAATACTGTATGAATCAAAAAATACAATGATAAGTTAAGAGGGAAAATGAAAAACAATCGATGAATATCAACAAATGATAAATTAACTGGCATTCTTTATTTATTTCTAGGTTTTTGGCAAGAACTCTGTACAGAAGAACATGTTCTGCATAATGTGTTTAATAGTGAGATCTCAAGCAAAATATGTGCTTCTTTATTCAGCCATAGTCCTTACCAAGACCCATAAAATTAATAAATAAAGAACTTCTACCAATATATCAAAAGTAATTTTGTTTGATTTTTTTTAACTAAAGGAGATTTATCATTTTTACGATGAAGAAAGTATATGACTAAAAACGATTCCTTTCGCATATTGTTGTTAAATTCAATTTCTAGAAGATTTTGCAATAGAAGTAATTAAAATTATCAAAAGAATCGCATAACTCTTTTAGGAGAGAATATGCAAAATACTGAAACAAAAGATCCTAACGGAATTTGTTGCAATAATGAAGGAATTGATAATCGAATTAAAAAGGTTAAGATAACGAAAAGTTATAAATTTTATATATCCAGTTAAATAAACGAATTCTGAACAGGGCAAAAACACAGACCCCTGGAAACATCAAAAGTGGGATCAGGTGCCTATAAGAAGTGAACATCCCCTGTTGAACTGTCACATCAGCCCTGAGCCCTATGTATTGATACGGAATACTCTGTAGTCAAATTAAGTATAAAAGCAATGACTTAACAAATGGACAAATGGTATGAAACATGTCAGACAAAATACGACCCAACGATAGGCTGCGTTTTAAAACAAGATCATTATATCGCCTATAGAATTTGACAAAAGTTGAATTTAAACGGGGTTGTTGAAATCCGTGGAACATCAACTTATTTGTCAATAGCTTGCCTCTGTTTAAAAATTAATTGTACTCAGAGCATACCCTTGCGTATCGAATCAATTGGGATATATATAAATACCACATGAAGGTGTTAGTGGAATATCACTACATATAAATAGAGGATATTCAATGTTTTGTAGATGAATGTGGAATTTATTTCACTAGTGGGACAGGATTATTTAATATTTTCACTAGTGCGAAACACGAGTGAAAATATCGAAAAATCCTGTCCCACGAGCAAAATAAATTCCATATTCATCTACAAAGCATCGAATTTTCTGTATATTACATTTTCTTTGATTTTCCCTTTGACTCTGTCTTTTTGCAACACGGTGTCATAGGCTGTGAAGTCATAGTTGAGCGGTTGAGACATCATAGCTAAGCGATTGCGAGATTGAAAAACGTTGTGAACATGGATTTTGAACAACATATTTGGAGAAACTTTGGAAGTTTTAGTCTCTGTCAGGATGGTTCATTTACTCTATCTTATAACAGGCCAGGGAGTTTTTTTTTTAAATCACTCTTCGTGATGGGAAGGAAAACCGAGAGTTTTGCCGCACTTCTGATATTATCACACTGTGAGAATACCATTTTGATATCCTTTCACACTGTGTCAGAATATTACTTTTATTCTATAAATAAATAAAATAAACTGTTAAAAATGTAAAAAATAAGGAAAGTTGACGATGGAGAAACTGAAGTACTTTCATTTGTCATACAGTTTAGTTATTAGTTGGCCATTATCGTCTGCAGTCAGTAAAACATCCGATATGTGGCAGACTCTGTAGTGATTTTTATCTCTTCGAGTTTACTGGGATATATCGAGTCGACATGTGAATGAAAGTAACTACTGTTGATTGATAAAACCTCGTCAATATATCTAAAAACCAATTTGAAGGCCACAGAAGACGCTTCTTCCTCTCATGTAGAAGTTTTGAAATAAATTCCTGCTTCATAGGTATATAAAAAAAAGGTCGGCTAATAAAGTAGCACAATTAGAGCACATCAAAATTCCAACATATGACCTCAAAAGACTACATAGATATTATCAATGGAGAACTTCAGCATCGTTTTATGTGTAATGTCAACTTCAGAGTACTTGTATGTAGAATTAGACTGATTTTTAACAAAGTAATTTTGTCGATGACCAATCACTAGATATTAAATTTACGAGTTCCACTTTTATTGAGGAAGCAATTATCAAAATGCCTGCTCTTTAATTTATCGTGAGGAATAATTAATTGGTTGTATAATGCGGATAAAAGTGATATGTTTTTATGCTACTGATGTGTTAAGTATTTGATGAACTTGAAACCATGGCTGAAAAGATAATACAACTGAATAAACTCTTCTTTTTCTCCAAAATAGATTTTGTATTATTTTTCATTTGCATATTTGAGAGGAGTTGTTAAATATCCCACACCTACAAAGTTTGGGAATGAAATATGAAAATAACGAGTATTCATTCTCGAAAGTCCAATGAAACGATACATATTTGGAGCAGTGCAAACACAGATCTCAAAATTTACAGGTGGGATCAGGTGCCATGGAAGAGTGAGCATTCCCTGCCGACCGGTCACACCCGCCGTGTGATCCTTGTCATGATCGAAAAAAAAAAACAATGGAAAAATCCGTAGACAGTTCAGTATATAAAAATTGGCCTAACAATTAGTATGAAATACGTTGGTCAGCATTTGACTCAATGATAGTTTGTATGTGCTGACAAGGTCATTGTATCGACCACAAAACTTGCAAAATGATGACGTCAAACGAGACTGTTAATATCATTGTTTCATCAACTTGTTTGTCAATAGCTTGCCTCGTTTTAGAAATTGATCATACGTAGAGCATGCTCTTGCATATCGAATCAACTGAGAGGCACAAACCTCATATGCAGGTGATAAGGGTTTATTGCTACATAAGTAAGGGAAGTTAACGATTGAAAAGTTGAAGTCATCACGTTTATCAAAAAGCTTTGTTGTTAAGTTACCATTAAGGTCTTTTTCTAGTAAAATATCTAAATATGAAACAGATGTGTAGGTTCTGTGGTATCTTTTATTTCAAGCTCACTGGGATATATCGAGTCGACATATGAATGGAAGTAACTATTGTTAATTGATAATACTCGTCGATATATCGAAATGTCGAGTTGAAGACCACAGCAAGTGTTTTCTTTTTCTCATGTAGAAATGTTTGAATAAATTCTGCTTTATATGAATACAAAAAGGTCTGCTAATAATGGGGCGCAATTGGTACCCATGGGAATTCCAACAGATTGTTGTAAGACCTGATCTCCAAAAACTACATAGATATTGTCAATCAGATACTCACGCATCTTTTTAATATCAACTTCAGAGTACTTTAGTGTACAATCAGAATTTTTTTTTAACAAAATAATTTTGCAAATGACCAATGACAAAGTAAGTATATTCACGAGTTCCATTTTTATTGAAAAGCAACTGTCTATGATGTCAAAAAACCCGAACTTTAATTTGTCGTGGAGAATGGTTGTATAAAGTGTTGAAAAGTCGTACTTTTTGATGTTATTGATTTTAGTAAAGTTTTGTGATTTCAAATTTTCTAAAAGTTTTTAATTATCCACATCTGATTTACACCACTTCTCGAA